TACCACCAGAGATGTAGATGTAGCGACCAGCAGAGGTGGCACTAAGTGCTGCCGCCCGATAGGGCATCTCTGACAGCTTCAGCCACAGGTTCTCCTGGATGATGTAGGCAAACACTCCATCATTGAACTTGCCATGGGCCTTTTGGCCACCCAGGATGACCACCGAATCAAGCAGGGCCCCTTTCCGCTGGTAGCTCAACAAGCTGGATGGCCTCTCCTGCTTACGGTCCATGAGGACACTCTCAATCAGGGTTGCATGGGCTGAGCTGTTCTCCATGCCCATCAACTTGTTGCTGGCAAACATCAGTGTCTTGTTGGAGACGGCATTAAGATTGATGTAGTTGAAGAACTTCTTGAAATACTTCTCCCGCTCATCCTTCCTGAAGTACACCCAATTGATGAGTGCACTGAGAGCCTGGTCCTCGTTGAGCACATGCAAGTTTTCATCTCGGAGCAGGCGGCCAAAGATGACAGGTGGACAGCGCATGAAGTGCATACAGCCCTCAGGACTGGCCCAGTAGTGGAAGTTGTCACGAATGCCAGAGTAGGCCAAGTCTGATACTTCTTTGAGCTCAAACAACTCAGCCAAGAAGAGGTAGCGCAAGCAGTTCGCACGGCGGATGGACTTAATCAGGAAGTCGTTACAGTGGATTCGAAGGCGTGGTGTGTTGAAATACTGGGCCCCGCGAAGGAGCTCCTCCACGTTCTGCTCTGAGATCACCACCTTGCCACTGTAGAAGTAGTCCAGGAGCTGGTCCACCGTGGCCGGACTCAGGTAGTTGGGGTCAATGGTGATAAAGAGCTCATCGGTGGTCTTCATGTCATTGCTGGAGATGAGGCTCTTCACCAGTGGGGAGACAGCAGCCAGCACGTTGCGATGTGCAAAGAAAACATGGTGGTCCACAGTCAGGGCCATGTCCCAGTACTCTTTGCGTTTCCTCTGTTTGTTCAGGTTCTGCAGCACAAAGCTGTTGTAGTTTTTCTCCGTGAATTCCAATTTCATGGTGCTTCTTGCTGGCTGAGGCAGAAGATCAGCAGCAGGTACTGGAGAACAGACGTTCTCAGGCCTTTGGGATTCAGAGTGATGGTTGTTTGCAGAGCAGTTGATCAGGGAGGAGGGGGGCTGGGAGAGAGGGTGATGTCATAGAATGGATGAGGTCATCACAATGCCAGCCCCTGAGGCCTTTCTCAGAGGCACAGGACCTTTCTCGCCTCTGATGGCTCCAACCTGCCAAGGCTAGATACCCTGCCAGATTTAAAGCCCTGGGCCCAGAGCTCAGGAGAATCTCAGAGACGGGTTGCGGGGCTCTTACCTGGGGCTTTTAAAACTCAGTTCAAGGCTATTTTTGGAATGTCTGAGCCAGTCTGGGTGCGGGAGGTATGGGAAGGGAAAAGGGGAAGGTGGGGGAAGATAAGAGATTTTTGGATCTAGAAGGATCCTTCCATGTACAGGAGGGAAACAGGCCCAGAGAAGAGAAGGAACTTGCCCAAGATCACACAGCAGGTTGGAATCAGACCAGGGCCTGGAAGCCAAGCCTTCTATAACTCAGTACTCTTCATCTTTCCAGAAAGCTCCTAACTACCTAACTCTCCTCAGTCTCTGTTTCTCAGGCCTCTAGGTACCTTTCTCTGCCAAGGCTCCTGGCCATCAGAGAAGAATTTCAGGCTCTGTCCCTTGCCTTCTGAATTTTGTAGCCATCAACATCATTCTTTAAAATAGAGGGAGAGGTAGAGACCACTGGCTGGAGTAGGGATAGAGGAGTTAGCCCCACACGGGGGGATGGGAGGGCCTCTGAAGCCCTGATGATTTCAGTTCCACAGCAAACTGGGACCTTCTGTCCACATTTTCATGTCTGTGGTCATGCAACTTTGGGGGCTGTGGTGGGTCACCTCTCTCCATCAAACGTCGACTTGGACAAGTGGCTCAGACTCTCTAAACCTCAGTTTCCTCATCTGTGACATGGGAGTAATAGTACCCGCTTTGAAGATTATTAAACGACAAAAGGATTAGAGCGCGTTAAGTAACAATGTTTGGCTTGTAGCAAACGTTCAGTAAATGTTAGCTGCCGTTACTTTATTGATAATCATCTTAGTTCATCCAGCGCCGGTGTCCTTGGCTGCTCCCTTTGTACGTAAATACCTGTCGCCGTCCGGTTGGTGTTTGGTTGGGGGTTGGGGGGAGTCTGGAATCCCTCCGGAATCCCGCGCCCCGTTTGGGCGGGCTCCGCGAGCCTCGTCCGGCCACGCGGTGGAGCTGGAGGGCCACCTCGGGCTCGCAGGCCCCGGCAGCAGCGCCCCCCTCCCAGCCTCCCCGGCCCCCTGGCCGCGGGGCTCCCTCGCGCCCGGCCGCCTGCGGCGACTGGAATGCCCGTGGCAGGGCCTCCCACGTTCACCACAAAGCCGCCTGTGCCCGCTTTACAGGTGGGGTGCGGAGCCCGGCAGACAAGCCGTCTCTCACTCGGGGCGTCACCCCTGGGCCCCCTGCCGGGTGGGGTGCCCGCAGACTCCGCCGCCCCCGGGCGGGCGTGGGGTTCCCGGAGTGCCCGTGCCGAGGAAGGCCTAAGGGTCAGCCGGAGCCCCCACGGAGGGCGGACGGCTTCTGCCGAGAGTGGGAGAGCCCAGGGGCCCCACCCCGGACCAGCCTTGGGGGGCTCCCGGCCAGGGGCTCAACTCGAAGGCCTTTGCGGCGATGGCCACATGGTACCGAGAGGACCTGGGCCCCAAGCGCCACCCCTGACCCTTAGGTCGTCCTTAGCGCCCCTACAAGGAAGAGTGGCGCCTGGCGCTTGGGGAATGGGAGCGCGCCTGCCCTTTCCTTCCCTCCCTTAGTCAGGGGATCATTCAGCGTCTCTGCACCTCGTTCTTCCATATCCGACCTGGCTTTTTCTTTGGGGATTTGGCAACTTGAAAACGATTCAAAAGTACTTAACGTTTTTTGTTTTTGTTTTTTTAAAAGATTTTATTTATTTATTTGACAGAGGGAGACACAGCGAGAGAGGGAACCCAAGCAGGGGGAGTGGGAGAGGGAGAAGCAGGCTTCCCGCCGAGCAGGAGCCCGATGAGGGGCTCAATCCCAGGACCCTGGGATCATGACCTGAGCCGAAGGCAGACCCCTAACGACTGAGCCACCCTGCGCCCCAAAGTACTTACATTTTAATGCTGAATCTGTTCACCTTGATTCCCGAATGGTATAGAGGCCCTCAGTCTCTTGATGGATATCTGCACAAAGCTAAGACCTTCTGTTTTCCCCATGAAAACGCTTAGATTTCAGCCTCTCCCCCAGACTAGCTGTGTGGTCTGGGTGGGTTCTTCTCTGTTTTCTCCATGTGAGATTAACTGAGCTCTAAAGGCTTCGCCAGCCCTGATCTCGCGAGGGGTGGCAGCAATTTAGGCACAGGCGAGACCTCTTGGTGTTGATACCAGACACCTTTTCATTCCTATTGGCATCTAGGCCTGCCCTGGCGAGAGGCTGGCCGACCTCACCTCCTGGGGCATTCCAACCAAGAGTAGAGCATGGGTGGAGTCAGGCCTGTTGTTGCATCTGCCCCTTGGCTCCCACGACCTGGGGCACTTTGGTGGAGTAGGTGGCTGGGCCCCTTTGCTTTTGTTTCAAGAGCCAGACCACAAGGGCAGGAAGGTCTCTCCAGTTGAGAAAGTTGGGCATAGGGGGTGTCATGGGCCTGAGAAGGTCCAGTAGACTTAACTCCATGTGCCAGGGCTTTGTACAGCTGGACGGACTGCAGCCCAGAGTGCGGAAGGGCGCATAACTCTGAGAGCACGGGGCTAGAGCTTGGAGCTGGGGTCCCTGACTCCTTCCTCGGTTCTCTGGCTACAAAGGAGAGCTGGCAATCTGGCTTGTCCTCTGCTCTAATTGAACTGTGGGAGTTGCTGTCTTTAAGAAATCCACTGAAGAAGTAAAATTAGTGCCCACCTGCTCAGCCAGCTTTGTTGCCTGGCTTTTCTTCAGCCTAGAAAGCTCTTCTGGTCAGCTTTTATCTTTCTCCAGCCAACTGAGGAAACAGATGCCAGCCTCAAGAGCTTGGCTGCATGCCAGTGTCCACCCCCTGGTTGTGTATGTGTATTGCGTGCAAGGTCTCCCTAGGAACCACCAGGAAGTCCACTGACTGGTCATTCAGTCCCTGTTGCTCATGGTGGCTGCCCAGGTGTGGCCTCAGCCCAGTCTTTTTTTTTTTTTTTTAAAGATTTTATTTTATTTATTTGAGAGAGAGAGAGAATGAGAGAGAGAGAGCACGAGAGGGAAGAGGGTCAGAGGGTCAGAGGGAGAAGCAGACTCCCCGCCGAGCAGGGAGCCCGATGCGGGACTCGATCCCGGGACGCCAGGATCGTGACCTGAGCCGAAGGCAGTCACTCAACCAACTGAGCCACCCAGGCGCCCTCAGCCCGGTCTTTTTATTCCACCCACCCTCCGCTCCTGGCCCAGCTCAGCATTTTTGGCTTAAGAAGACTCCCTCGGGGAGGGGACCCTCCTAGTCCAACCTTCTGGGGAACATCAGTTGACAGATCCTTTTGCTGGGAAGCCCTGCAGACGAGGGGTATGTTTTAATGGTGCACGGATTGGGCCCGGAGCTAGAAAGCTCAGGAGCGCCAGCTCTTTTGTTCCTCTAACACTGGCTTTCTCACTGCCACTTATTTGCAACTGGCAAGTTGGCTTGCATATAGTTTTGGCTGGCCATGGCCCTAACTCAGACTCATGGCATCCTAATTTTTTTAGTTCCACTGGCAAATTCTCTGCTCATTTCTTAGCTCAAATTCCTGGTCCGTGGCCAGCCCAGGGATTGGCGGCCCTTGGATCACATGTCCACTTCAGTCCAGTCAGCCCTGTGAGGGTAGGTCACATGGATCAAAACGTAGCTGCCAAAGGGGCGCAAGGTACGGGGGAGAGGTTGGACGTACTGGGAAGCCTCAGTTACCTAAGACAGGAACTAAGATGATTACCTTAGTCACCGATTAAGAATCGGGCATGAATGACATGGAAGATGTTACACAAAAAAAGAAAATTTTATTGTTGTCTCAGTCACTATCCCCGGGTGAAGTGGAGGGCACAGCACGAGGCTGTGTTCACAGTGCAGTGCAGACCTTCGGGAAGCATGTTCCCTGACTGGCCTGCTCTGACGTCCCTAAGGCGGCAGCCTCCTAACTCCCACCCCGGCCGTCTTAACGCTTGGAGAAGCCATGCTTTCAGGACACCCAGCTTGGCATCTGGGTCGGTTCCTCCCACGTGGACCATGTGAAATCATTATTCAGGGGAACTTTGTAGGGTGTGAGGCAAAACAAAGAGCCAAACTGGCGAGTCTAAGCCCCCACATGGGCTATCTCCCTGGAACACTTGGGCCTGTCACACACTCCAGGAGGGAGCAGGGCACAGCTGCAGCCACGGCTGCCGGAACAGGCCAGGGCTCCCGCCCTGTGTGCGAGGGCAGGGCAGAGGCTGGAGGGCTTCCTCTGGGGGCCCTGGTGAGCTCACACTCACCCCCACGCTCACTGACTTCATCGGTCGGACGCTTGGCCAAGAGCCCGGGCAGTGTGAGGGGCTTCCTCCCAGAACAGGCCCTGGGCCACCTAGCCAAGGGGGGGAAGGGTGACTTTCAGACCCAGGCCCCAGAAACCAGGGGGCACATACCGAGCTCTGAGATGCCAGAGGATTTTAAGAAAAAAGGTGGGAGGGGGGCAAGGGCGGTGGTAGTAGTGGTACTTTGCTATTTAAAGATAGAAAAATGCAAGGAAGTGCAACTTTTCTCTCCATTTGTTCTTTGGCATTCCCATTAGAGAATTCCAGGAGGCGTGCAGATGACATCATGTCTTACAACTGAGAGATCCCGATCATTTTGTGAAATGCAGTTCCTGCCTGTCCCATGTTTCCAATGGAAGCTGCTTTATATTTACGTGTTTAAAGCTGTTTTATGTTCCATTTAGATGAGAGTTTAATCATCTTAAATATCTACCAAAAGTAGATTACAATGCATGAAGATCACATAAAATGAACTTCACCTGGAAGCATCACGAACGTTTAGAATAGAAAAAGACCCGGGAGGGGTATTATAAGAAATGTACAAAAGAAGTTTGCTTAAAAAAAAAAAGAAAGTTTTAAAATTGATTCTTTCCCCCCTATGTTCAAATAATTGTGGTCTAGGGAACCATCAGGGTAAAGGCTTCATAGGCTCATTCCTTTTGATAAGAATAAGTTCATACAGAACTGTATATCCAAGTGCGTGTGCAAGAGACACTCACATGCATCACACACACAAGCACATACACGCACAGGGACAGACACACAGCTGAGTTTTTGTTGTTCTAGGCACTTCGTATCCATGTTAAGTCTGCCACATTCCCATTACATTTAATGAATTACTTCTTTGGAGGCAGGACATTTTCTTCGAAGAAGCCCTGGTTGACGACATTCCCCGCTGGGAAGTATCGGGCCACCACGAACGAAGACCCATCACTTGCAGATGCCTTCCCCACTCCCATCTTCTTTGTATTCTTCCACACCATGGCTGTGAAGTGTCCTGGAGGGGCAGAGGCAGGGGGAGAGGGAAACAGGTTAGTTAGCAGAATCTGGAGGAGGATGTTTCTAAGGATCCTCGAACCCCTGCGCCATCTTGTCAGGCTTGGGAAGCTTGAACTTCACATACACCAGTCAGAGGCAGGAAACATACAACATTCTGCCTGCCTGAGTTTCTGAGGTATCAGTTCCTCTCGATCAGCCACACAAGACCCTCCTCACCTCACCGTTTCCCGATGCCCAAAGGTTTCATGGTTTCCCAGAGATCACAACGAAGCCGAGTGACCCCAACAGTCAGGATGCCACCCCACCAGCACCTGCCTCCCACCCCGTCCCGCCGACTGTATTCTTCAAGGTCACCCATGATCTCCATGTTTCTCCCCAAAGATCACTTTTTGTCTCTCTCTTACTTGACATCTCAGGAACATTTAATAGAGTTGACTCCTCCCCTTTTCGAAGTACCCCCTCTTTTGGTTTCCATGATGCTGCCCTCTCTTGGCATTCCCATCTTATTGCCTTTTCCTCCTCTTCCATTTCGCTGGTAAATGTTGGAGGGGCCTGCCCTTCCCAAAGCTCAGTCCTGGGCTTGCTTTTCTTCACTTGCTGTACTCTTTAGGCAATTTCATCTTTCCCTGGCTCCCAAATTTATTTTCCTAGCTCAGATCTCTCCTCTGTGCTCCAGATACAACTACTTACTTGACATTTCCACTTGGATGGCAACCAGGCATGTAACCTATCCAAACCTCACTCTTGATTTTGGTTCCCCCAGAGTTACTGCTCTTCCTACCTTTCATTTCCATTAATGTTCCCTCTATGCACACAACCCTAAGGCTTGGTCTGTATTCCTCCTTCTCCCTCATTTCCCCCTCAACAAGCCATCATTCAATCCTCGAGACTCTAACTCCAAAATAGATCTTGAGTCCATCCACTCCCCAAACGTGGGTTCCAACCACAAACTTTCTCACTTGGACCACTGTAATGGCCCTCGATCGGTTCGCCAGCGTCCACCTGTGCCTCCTTCAATTCACTTTCTCTAAAGGAGCCAGAGTAATCATTTTTAGACATAAGTCATATCTGTTTCCTTTCCCACTTAAAAATCCTTCAATTGCTTCCAGTTGCACCTCAGATGAAAGGGAATGCTCTGGCCCAATGGCCTCTTTTCCATTCCTTGAACATGTCCGGCTATTTCCCACCATGGAATCCTTGCACACATTGGCCACTGTGTGGAATGCACTCCTGATGACCAACATCTTCCTAACCCTTAGGCCTCAGGCTGAATGTCACCTGTGCAGAGAAGTCTTTCACAATCACTTATTTCCTGAACACCTCCCTCCCAAGATCATCTTATCATACCCTGTTTTACCCCTCAGAGCATTCTTACCATTTGCAAGGTTATGTGCGTTTGATTTCTTGTTCATTTTGCTTGGCTCCTTCACTAGCCTAAGAGACTCACAGGGGCAGGAACCAAACTGTTTTGCTCACCAAATTATACTCAGTACCCTGGCACAGCCTGGCACAGGAAAAGTGTAAAATAAGACTTTGTTGCATGAATGAGTGGAATGAATGAGGGAATGAATGAAAAGGTATACGGAAGAACCACCTTGGACTTGGGTTCTACCCTCACTGCAAGTGCAGGCCTTCTACATTTTGTGCTCTTTGAGACATTGACAAGTTAGAGCCTCCTTCAATTCCCTCTGCTCTGAGCCAAACAGTCCAGTTCCTTCTCAAGCTACTGCCTGACCCTCCACACATTTCTGTGGTTTGCTGAGCTTCTCAGCATCAGTGTCCCACTGCTGAGGCTGCCTGCCCCTCACTCACTGCTTCTTTCAAACCTTTAATATAGCTTAGCTTCCAACTCCCCTTCCACTTGGGGGTCAAAGAGTTGCTGTAATGTACTCTTTGCTCAATGACCATAAATTCTTCCGTCTCCAAGGAGTAGAGGGTGGAAGCTGGTCCTTCCCACCTTTACTGTTAAGGACTTACAGAGATCCTTTGACAGGTCAATATTGACTTCTGTAGCACAGAATGGCATTCATTTGCTCAAACAACACTGAAGAGATTATGTTTCCTCCTTGAGGGGTGGGGACCACACCTGTCTTATTTTATTTTTTTAAGATTTTATTTATTTACTTGAGAGAAAGTGAGAGCAAGAGAGAAAGCACAGAGGGAGAGGGAGAAGCAGACACCCTGCTGAGCAGACAGCCTGGTTGCAGGGCTCGATATCAGGACCCCGGGATCATGACCGGAGCTGAAGGCAGACGCTTAACCGACTGAGCCACCCGGGCGCCCCTGCACCTGTCTTACTGACCACAATGTCCCCAATGCCTAGCACTGAGCTTGGCACATAGGAGATGCTCAACAAACACCAGATGAAGAATGGAAGAGACAGAGGGAAGGAGGAAAACTGAATCAGAAGTGGCTAAGTATCCCATAGGGTAGGAAAGAAAGAGGGTAACCATTTTATACCCATTTAGGTGGATTTTTTTTTTTTTAAGAAGAAAATAACAAGCGTTGGTGAGGCTGTGCAGAAATTGGAACCCTTGTGCACTGCTGGTGGGAATGTGAAATGGTGCAGCCACTGAGGAAGACAGTATGGTGGTTCCTTAAAAAATGAAATATAGAATTACCATCTGATCCAGTAATTCCACTTCAAGGTATAAGCCCAAAAGAACTGAAAGCAGGGACTCAGATATTTGCACACCAATGTTTTAGCAGCATTATTTACAATAGCCAAAAGGGAAAAAAACCCAAATGTCCACCAATGGATGAATGGAGAAACAAAATGTTATATATAAACATACAATATTATTCAGCCTTAAAAAGGATGAAATTCTGATACATTCTACCTTGAGGATGAACCTTGAGGACATTATGCTAAGGGAAATAAACCAGACACAAAAGGACAAATATTATATGACTCCACTTATATTAGATACCTAGAATCACCAAACTCATAGAGACAGAAAGTAGAATAGTGGTCACCAGAGCTTAGGGGTGGGGAGGGAGAGAGGGATGGATGGGGGTTATTGTTTAATGGGTTCAATTTGAGATGGCTGACAAGTTCTGGAGATGGGTAGGGAAGTGGTTGTACAACAATGTGAATGTACTTAATCTCACTGAACTGTGTTCTTAAAATGATTAATTTTTTTAAAGATTTTATTTATTTATTCACGAGAGACAGAGAGAGAGGCAGAGGGAGAAGCAGGCTCCCCGTAGAGCAGGGAGACTGATGCGGGACTCGTCCCTAAAAATGGTTAATTTTATGGTAAATATGTTTTACCAGAAAATGAAGAAAGGAAGCAAGGCAGGCAGGCAGGCACCTGGGTGGCTCAGTGGTTAAGCGTCTGCCTTCGGCTCAGGTCATGATCCCAGGGTCCTGGGAAAGAGCCCCACATTGGCTCCCTGCTCAGCTGGGAGTCGGCTTCTCCCTCTCCCTCTGCCCCTCCCCTCTGCGTGTGTGTGTGTGTGTGTGTGTGTGTGTGTGTGTGTGTGTACGTGTGCGCGCGCGCTCTCTCTCACAACAAATAAAATCTTTAAAAAAAGATTGTGTGTATTTTGCCCTACAGATGAACTCCATTTTTATAATTTTTAAATTTAGGTAATACTTTATTTTATTTTGTTGTCTATATCCATAAAAGATTTTAGGTTACCAAATTGTTTATGAGAATAACAAACCATAAACGGTAATCAGCAGAACTGCTGTGATAAAATCAAAGCAAGAACTAAAGGAAAACAAACCCCACGTATAATTAGGCATCTTTTCCACTTATCCTTAAACTTGTATTAACCACTGCCCACTAAACTCTTGACTTTCACCTCAAAATAGAAGAGAAACACTACTTGCCTATTCCCCCTTGGACCTCCTACTTTTTGAGTCACAGCTCCAGGCTTTCCAGCAGCTTTGCAAGGTGTCGCCGCTTCCACAGGCTGTCTTTTCATTAAGGCTCAAGCCCTTCTCCACGCGAGCCTTTTCTCTCAAGAGAACCGGCCACTTTGGCTATTGACCACCCACTCTCTCTGTTGCCCAGACAAGGAAGAACGGCCATTTATCCACTGGTTACCAAGAAAATGATCACAGACACAAGGTGCCCGTCAGCAGCTCACATGCCTGTGGAAGCCTTTTCCAAACAGCTGAGGCTAAGTGATTTTCCCACTGGCCGGGGAGGTTTCTGTCCAGAGATAATTAAGTATGGGTATTTAGAAACAAGTTAAAGGACACGACTTCTTTAGCAACCATCAGATACACAGTGGTTTCTAACTAAATCACTAACTCACACAAAACTTTTTTTTTCCCCTAAAGGGATCACATCCTCCTTTCCTGCAGTCGACCCAAACTTCCTAGAATATACATTTGAAAAAACACATTAAATAAGTTACAGTATATCCTTGCAAGACAATAATGATAATGTGCAACAGTAAGAAAGAATGACAAAGCTCTTTTTATATTAACACGGAACAATCTCTAACAATCTGCTGGGTGAAGAAAGCAAGTGCAAAACAGACCATATACCAGGGTATAAATAAAGGGGAAAAGAGACCATATTTACCTAATGCTGGTATAAGATCAGACCAACTCTAGGATGACACACAAGAAATGGGTATCACTGGTTGGAAGGGAAAGTGCTAGAGACCAGGAATGGAAGGACTTTTTACCCTACACAGTTTGCAGATTTCATATCATGTAAAAGTATTATTTACTCAGAATAAATGAACAAACCAACCTACTCATTATGTCACAAAGGGGGCGCCTGGGTGGCTCAGTTGTTTAAGCGACTGCCTTCGGCTCAGGTCATGATCCTAGAGTCCCAGGATCAGTCCCGAATTGGGCCCCCTGCTCAGCAGGGAGTCTGCATCTCCCTCTGACCCTCCTCCCTCTCCTGCTCTCTCTCTCAAATAAATAAATTAATTTTAAAAAAGAATGTAACAAAGTAACAGTTTCTCTCCGCTCACCACGCAGCAGAGAACTGTGTCCTTCATCACAAGATGTGGACTCAGGGTGAGTGGGTGGGGATAGATTACAGGATATTTCAAAGGCTCTTTCCCTACAACACCGACTCGGGTCAGGGAATCCCGACACAATGGTGCGGCAAGAAGCAGCTCTGGGGGAGCCTGAGGCGTGGGAAGGGTCTCGCAAGCTCTGATTCTAACACCACCCAAAGCTGTCCTCCTGTCTTAAGCTCAGGCTCTGCCTGTCCACAGGCATTGCCCACTAGCACCTGGGACAGCCTAGGGGCTAGCTGCTCTGGGGTTTTCCTCTTTAGGGGTGGGAGATGTGGGGCAATGGGTTGGACAGGTGGTCAGTGATCACGGCAAGTCCCATCCCAGCTCTGACACTTGCAAGATTCCCACCTTGGAGCAGGAGCCATGGAAAAAGCATCGGATTGAGGATAGGAGATCTAAAAGACGTCTCTTCCTCTTTCTGGGCTTCAGTTTCCTCCTCTGCAAAATGGGTAGAGTAAAGCCCCACCTACAACCGGTGTTGTGAGGCTTATGTGGCCGGGAATGCGGACACTTTACAACGGCCAAGTGGCAGGCACACATGAGCAATGCTAGTAACTTGCCCTGACATGTGTCCAGTTGCTCGGGAGCCTTGCTCATGGGAAAAGCAAATCCAGAGGCTGTGAAATAAAATGCCTTCTGGACACTGAACTTTATGAAAAGAAGACAGGTTCTGTGTCTTCATAGAACCTTAATCACCGGGCGAAGGCTGTTCCGGTTCCCTCCCTCACCTCTCGAATTTAACTGCCACAGAACCATCGATTCATACTTAGGCCGCTGAGAGCAGCTTCCTTGGCCCCGGCCTGGAGAGCTGGGAGGAGAAATGCCCCAGCAGATGCCACCACCTCTGCCCCACAGTCCTGCCCACACTGTTGCAAGAACCCCTGCCCAAGAGGGGTGAGCAGCAAACCACAGGAAACAGTGACTAGCTCCGAGAGCATGTCACTTCCTGCTTCGGAAGAATCTTCCAGAGGGTGAGAGGCCATAGGGGCTCCACCCGGGGGGGGGATGGGGTAGGGTAGGGTAGGGTAGGGGGTGGGCAGGGAACCCCCTTTTCAGTTTTCCTGGCGCCTTCTGGTCAGAGAAACTCTCAGCCCCTTCTAACCCATCCTGGGCCGCCAGTAGATCTGAGTCGGTTCTGAGGAAAGACAGGCAGGTGCCAGGTGAGAGGAGTCGGCTGAGGGGCAGGAGGGAGCCCAGAACTCAAAGCGGCTGCCTGGGGCTTCAGTCAGCCAAATGTTTACTGCTTACCCTGGAGGCCTCACAGAAAAGCTGGATGGTCTCAGGGCTGCCGGGGCCTGCAGCTCTTGCCTGCATCCACACACCAGCTCTCAATGTCCCCTAGAGGCTACTGCCTTGCCCCTCCCTCTCCCTCTGGGACAGGGAAGGACAGAGAGTCAATCTAAGTTCACACAACTAATAGTGCTGGAGCTGAGAGCAGCTCTAGGCTGTCTGCACTCCAAGCTCATCTGAACCGCAAACTGGAGAAAAAAGGTGAAGGGGGAGGGGGGAGGGGATGCCTGGGAGGTGGGAGGTGTGGGGAGCATGTAGGAGGGATGCAGGGTATTGGGGGGGCGTTAAGACTAGAAGGGGAGAGTGAGCAGTGTGGCCCTTTTCCTGAAGAGAGGGCTTTAGAATATTCTGGTTGCTGGGGGCAGGCTGGATTGGAGGGGAGCAAGACTGGCAATAGGACGACCGGTTATAGGACCACTTCTGGGAGGAGCACTCAGGAACTTTTCAAAATCCACAGCCTCCTTATGGCACCCTCTAGTCACGTGGAGAACTTGGAGCTGGTGGGGCAGGAATCCGAGGCTCACATGTTCTCGGACGGAGGAGGGTGTGTGTGTGTTGGGAAAAGTGATGGGGAAAGAGAGTATTGCCCTTTGGGAGAAGCTGAGCCAGAGAAATGTGGAAGAGGTAAAACAGGAGGGAAAGGATCGATTTTCAGAGGGTTAGTGCCTTTCCAAACTCACATGCCCAATGGCAACCCTGCCCAGGCCCAGGCCACTGGGGTGACCCCCTCACTCACCAGTCCCAGAGGTGAAGCCAGGCTGCTGGAAGTTGTAGTTCTTGATTTCACTGTACCATCGATCAGCCACCTCCTTTCCTGTATGGAAAAGACACTGTTTCAAACTCAGCAGCAAAATCAACCCACTCGCTACTCCTTCCATCTTCTCCCCATACCACCCACCCCACAGTTAGACGTCTGATAAAGCACCAATGAGCTGAAACAGGGACTCCTGCCCATGAGTGTATCCAGGCTGAAAAGGGGGCCTTGCTGGGGATTGGGAAGAGCCTTGGCCTGGCGTTGGGGGACCTGCCATGCCACTAACTTACTGTATAATCCTGGGCAAGGCCTCCCCCTCTCTGGGCCTCTGTACGAGGGTTGAATGCCATGTCCTCCAAGGGCTTCTAATGATGCTCTGAGTTTTCGGGACACTCTGTCCTCACCCCACCCCAGGTGTGTCTCCTGAAATATCCACAGGAGGAAAGGCAACTGGGCTGGTGGGTCCTCATTCTAAGCATCTGCTGGTCCAGCCGGTGCTGGTAGGCGAAAACCCACAGCATTTCCCTGGGAACTGTTGATGTCAAGGCCACAGCAAGGAGCCTCCATCCCACAGCAGTAAGTCTCACTCCTAACTTTGATATACGTATGGATCAGCTGGGGTGCTTGTTAAAATGCAGATTCTGACTTCCTAGGTCAAAGTTGTCTGCACTGTTGTTGTGCAGGCTCTGAGTCTGCATTTCTCACAAGTTCCCAGATGCTGCTGCTTCCCCACGGACCACACTTTGAGAAGCAAGGCCTCAGAGAAGAGAGGCTACACACCGGCCTCACGGGGGGAGCACTGAAACGTGGCTGACACGCGGGGCCCACCACAGACTGCGTCAGTGTCTCTGGAGGAGAGACCCAGGCATTGGTGTTTTCTAAAAGCGCTGCAAAAGATCCCAATGTGTAGCCAGGGTGGGGATAAAGACAGCCTGCGGAGACAGAGATGGGAAAACCGGGGCCACAGAGGGTAGCGACTTGCTCAGGGCTCCACAGGGGGCCAACGCAAGGCTGGGACCAATCACCTCCACTGCCTGCTCCTCCTGTCCGTTCAGGGAGCCTTCTTCCCATCAGGGCCCATGGCCTGGCTTGGAAAGGAGGCTGCAGGCTGCAGGCTGCAGGCTGCAGGCTCCCGCCTTCCTCAGGAGCATGCGCACACCTCTCCCGGAGGCCCGCTGCTCTGGGGAAACCGAGAGGACTGCAGGCCTCCCCAGGGAACTCCCAGGAATGTCAGGCCCTGGGTGTGGGGGGGAGGCAGGCAGGCATCCTCCTGCTGGGGTCTGGAGAAGGCTTCAGAGGGCAAAGTAGCTCTCTCCAGCACTTTTTCCTAAAAAGCCACGGCAGCCCTGTCAGAGCCAGGAAGCTCAAGAATGTTTGGTCAGTGTGGCAGGATCACCATTCCAGGCTGCGACCTTGGATGGAGGGATTGTCTTTCTCATTTTTTTTTTTCTAACATGAAAAAAGCTCAACTGCATTTTTCTGAGGATAAAAGTGAATACACCAACACTTTAAAAAAGAAAGCAAAATGTGAAGAATGTAAAACTGTGTCTGGGGATACTTGAGAGCCCACAGGGTCAGGCTGAAACTCTGCACGGAAAGGGCACAGAAATGATTTGCCTCCCCCGCCCCCATTCCTCAGCTGGGAGCTCTTCCGAAGGGGAGGGTCGGGCAGTCTGACTCATCTGTGTGTCCCTGGCACCCAGCACAGGCCTGGCCCTGAGCCAGCCATCTGAGACACTGTGGTGAGCTGCAGGCCGACCTGGGAGCACACACAGAGAGTTCTGGGGCCCCTTTCCCTTTCTGGGCCTGTGGCACCAAGGCTACGTGGAGGAGGGTGCTGGGGCCTGAATACTGGAGGTCCCAGGCCCAGCTCAGGCGGAGGAGAGGGAGGCTGAGAAAGCAACCTACCTGTCTGATCATAGGAGGCCCATGCCAGGTTCTCTCCACACTGGCCACGACTGGACTCCGGGCTGTGCTTGAGGATCCTTGTGCTGGCCAGGGCCTCTGAATACCTGCCAGAGTCCATGTGCCTCCTCAGAGCGGGCCAGCCCAGGGAAGCCCCAGAGGGTGAGTCCTAACCTAGTGTGGCTGAGCTTCCTTCCCCGCCCCAGGCTAGCTGTGCAAATCAGGAGCATCAGGCCAGCCTCTCTTCTGCGTCCACAACAGCCCCATTTTACAGAGGAGCAAACCGAGGCTCGGGGCAAAAGGACCTGCCTAGGTAAGTGGTACAAGGGTTATTCAAGCCTGGCTGTATCTGCCCCCCAAACCCATGTCCTTCTGGCCACCCCACTGCCCCTCCGTGACAGCGGCAACAGCGCCATGAAGGGCCGGAGTCACCCCGGGGCCCTGGGGGACTCACTGCTGAGCCTCCCGGTTGAGCTTCTTGCAGAGCTTCAGTGGGGGGACGCCATGCTGCTGCCGGTACTCGTTGTGGGCCTTCAGGACCTCATTATTAAACTGCTTGGAAGCTGCAATAATTTCAAAATGGAGAAGGTCTCAGTGCAGAGAAAAGACCCACCAAGAAAGTATGATGGCCAGCTTCAGAGTGATGCTCAGCTCAACCCTCAGGCCACACGGACGGGCTGCCGCGCCCCTTTTGGCACCCCGGCCAGCCGAGCAACCGTGACATCCTGCTCCACACCCCTGATGTCAGCCTCCCCGTCTCTGCACATCTGCACCTCATGGATCACGTGGGGCCCTGTGGACCACGTGAGGGATTTGGGGCTTTGTCCAGGGCAATGGGGAGGGGCTGAATGGGCACAAGGGGCTGAGATGAGGAGATGTGTGTTTCTGAAAGACTCTGCTGGCTGCTGAGCGGAGGCTGGGCCGCAGGTGCACAGAAGGTGCAGGGGATCAGGGGCGGGACAGGGAGACCGGAACGGCTGGGAAAAAAACGTGTGGAGCCTGGGTAACTCAGACTGGACCTATGGGGTGTGGTGGGGGCTGGGAAGGGCTGGAGGTGGGAGCCCAGGGAGAACAGGCCTGGCTGTGGTGAGGGTGCCTGCGTTGTGCTGGGGAGACCAGAAGACTGGGACAGATAAAGAAGGGGACCAGGGGAGGACAGCACTGGGGCAGTGGAGTGGGGGGGACAGGGCGGAAAAGAATGTGGTGGGGGGCGGGGGGGCAGCTGGGCCCAGGGATGCAGTGAGGGAAGAGGTTGAGCCTGTGCCCAACTGGGTCATGACCTCCAACGAACAAGCTCAAGGAGGCTGGAGTTAGGGAGAGAATAAGAGGCAGAGGCAAGGTCAACGGTGGACGGAAGCCACCCCAGTGTGGCTCTGGAACGGAACCCCCTCCATCCCACACCCTTCACCCGTCTCCCCACCACTCATCCGTCCCTCTCTTGGTTCGTCATCCTTTCGGCAGCAGCCAGCCACCCATCCCCCACCCATCAGTTCATCTGCTCTCTGAGCGCCGCCTCCACTCTGGCTCCTGGATTGTGCGAGAGCTCCGGAGACACATCCACCTTGTCCTGCCCTCGGGGAGCTCACACACAGAAGGGAGACGGCCTTGGAGACAGACACCGGCAGAGTGAGAGGGCCAAGGTGCAGGTGAGCATAGGTCAAGAGGAACTTGGAGAAAAGTAACCTACCATGGGTGGGGGGATCAGAAAGTTGCCCAGACAGGAGCCAGTGAGGCTGATTGGGCGGGCACTGAGCACCAGCCGTAGGACTCTGGGATCGGGTGGCTTATGAGGAAGAGCCACGGCGGCCCTTACACCAAGCTAGTCTCATCCGGCAGGGGCCTGTCCCTGAGGATTGGCCGTGGGCGGTAAGGGTGCGCCGTGGAGGGTGAACAAAGCGCCACTCCTCCCCCGCCCCGGGTCATTCACCAGCTGCCTTTCCTTTCCTCTGCTCTTTTCATTCACCCCAGAGGCTGAGATGACCCCATAGGGAGTCTTCCCCCTCCCTCAGCCAGATTCCCCAGGTCTCCTGGGGCTTCGAATCAAATCCCACTGGGTCTCTGAGGAGATGCAGGAAGAGACCTAGGGCAGGGCCTACCCTCAGGGCTAAATGCGGCCCTTGAGAAGGGAGGTAACTGCAGGCCATGCCCGTGGTGGGTGGCAGTTGAGCCGGCCCAAGGGGGTTCCAATCACCTTAAGAGTTAGGCCTCTGGGGCCCAGCGGGGCAGTTCAGTGAGGTCTGGTCACAGCAGTGTGGGCAGGGGGAGGCGGGGCTGAAGAGCAGGATTTGGGAGGTTGTGGCTGACAGGCAGACATGGGGGACACCGTGAAGGAAGGGGTGATGGTAGCTGCTGTCTACCATCTTGTCACCAAGACAGAGGCGGAGCTGCAACCTGAACTCTTCGGGTCTCTGTGGTCAAGAGAGGGGCCAAACCCTTGTTTGTGTGAAAGATAAAGATTTCATGTTTATGGGAGGGAGGAGGAAGAGGGAAGGTACTGTTTACTGGGCAGTTTCAGATTTTCAGGATGGAAAAGTTCAGCAGATGTGTGGTAGAGCAATGTGAATGTACATACACTACTGAACTGCATACCCTGCAATGGTTATGATGGTAAATTTTATGTCTCGTGTTTTTTTACCACAGTAATAAAAAAGATTTTGGGTTGAATATGTTAACGTGGTATTTGGGATAACGGAGTCAGAGAGGTTCTTAAAGAATATCTCAGGGGCGCCTGAGTGGCTCAGTTGGTTAAGCGGCCGCCTTTGGCTTGGGTCATGATCCCAGGGTCCTGGGATCGAGTCCCATGTCGGGTTCCCTGCTCAGTGAGGAACCTGCTTCTCCCTCTCCCTCTGTCTCCCGGCTTGTGCTCTCACTCTCTCTCTGTGTCAGATAAATAAATAAAATATTAAAAAACAAAACAGAATATCTCAGGTGGAAGCCATAGCGACTAGTAGGAACCAGAGGGGTTCTTGTTGATGAAACGCAAAGGAGTCAGCAGGGTGGCTTGGCGGCTAGAACCCCACCAGCTCCTGGGCAAAGGCACTGCTTGTCCTGTAGGAGCCAGTGCCCAGCCGGAGTGCCTCGCCCAGCCTGGCCCCCACCTTGTCTGAGAGGCGGCAACCATCTGAAGTGCGTCCACAAGTGATGACCAGGTGGAGAAGGGGCTGGAAATGGGTCTTATAAGGAATGGTGGCAAGTACTGGGTCTGTTCATCCTGGAGCTCAGACTTTGGAAGACACAGAGGAGACCTCTGATGAATTCTGGGGCTCCAGAGGGCAAAGTCAGGGCCAGTGGGTGGAAAGGGCAGGACGATAGATTTTAGCTCAGCCTAAGAAAGAACTTTCAATCAAAGCTTTCCAAAAAATGAAAGAGTGACCTCACGAGGTAATGAGCTCTCCAGCACTGGGGGAGTACAAACAAGTGACTCCTCTCAAAAGGATTCAGGCATTGGAGGCCAATCGGATGACCTTCAAGTCCCTTCAATCCTGAGATCCCATAAGGTCCCATCAGGGTGGGGTGAGAGGAGACAAGTGAATGGCTACCCTCAGGCTTCCAAGGAGTTCAGAGCTTCTCTAAGGAGATGGAGTGATCACAAGCGTATGTGTCTGTGCAGGGCCAGGTGTGGGTGCACATGGTCAAGGTGGCAGCGGGTCCCCATCTGAGGGACAGGCTTGGCGAGGCCCACACTAATGTCCCTGCCCGCTCCCATGTCGCTGGCAGGCCACAATGGGACACCACAGGAGGTGCATGGGACTGAGTGGTGCAGGCAATGGGGACCACCAGTGTACCGGGGAAGGCTCCCTGGAGGAGGCAGGGAGGAGGCAAAGGGGGCACAGAAAGAGCCAGGGCAGACCGGAGAGCTGGTGGATCTGGGGCTATGGGGAGGAGGGGGAGATCCAGGGAGCAGGTGGGTAGCTAAGGTGAAGCCAGTTTAAAGGCAGCTCTGAGTGCCGGGCTCAGGTCGCACTGGACCCAGTAGCTTTATGGGTCCTGCAGTCTTTTTGGCAGAGAGGGACGTATAAGGCTGCTAAAAACTAGGTCACTGCACTCCCAGAATGTGGGAAGTAAAAAGAAACAAAAGTGAAAGTTCCTGTGCCCAATCTAAGCTTGGTGCCCAGAAGCCAATGCTGGTTACTGTTGCCAGTGGGGCCAGTGTGCTGGGCCAGGGTTTCTAGGAAGGGGTCAGGAAGACTTTTTGATAAGGGAGCCTTCTCTCCCTACCCCCAGCCACACTTCTGAGGCCAGTCCCTGCCCAGGTGGCTCCTCAGAGCAGGGCCTCAGCCTCCGGAGTGGGGGGGGGGGGGCAAGATATCACTTGTGAACACACCCAGCAAAAGGCACACTTTATTCTGTAGAAAAACTCTAGAACACAGATAAACATAAAGATTAAAAGTCAAAGAAAACCCACCCATCCCCACATTAGGCAGGGAGAGCCCTCACAGCCACCCCACAAGGGGCGAGGGTAGGAATGATATCCTTATTTTGTAGGAGGGCAAACTGAAGCTCAGAAAACGACAGGTTCAGGGTGCCAGCCCAGAATGAAAGGGGTCCTTTCTTCTGCTGACCAACTATTTCTAGGTGCCAGGCCTGCACATGGTCTTATTTGCTTATTGCCACCTTTTGTACGAGCCCCCACTACTGTACCTTTTTTTTTTTTTTTTTTTTTTATAAGGAAACGGAGGCTCCAGAAGAGAAGTAACCTGCCCAAGTTCCCACAAATGGTCCAGGGGTAGTAGACCCACAAAGAGGGAAACCCTGTCCTTAACCCCGTACTACCCCCAAGGCCCAGGACACAGAGAAAAGCACACAGAAGAGACAGCGGGGTCACCAGATCCAGGAGGAGGATCAAGTCCAGTGCGGTTGGGCCTGCCGGTCTGAAGAGGAGGAAGGAAGAGGAGAAAAGAACTTTCTCAACAGCCTCCTCTGTGCCAAGCCCTTTATGGACAGACCTGTCTGAGGGGCCCCAGATGAAAACCGGGGGCTGCCGGGGACAGTTGTGGGGCTTAAGGTCAGAGCCCCTGGAAGGTGGGAGGAGCTGTCTCGGCCTGGCTCCCTGTGGCTGAGGGACGGAGTCGGGGTGGGGCTGTCTCCACCACAGGAGGGGCGCTGAACTAAGATGGGGGCTCTTGAAGGTCCTCTGGGGCCCAGGCTTCTAACTGCCAGATAAAAACTCAGGTCCTGCCCCTCCTCCCTCTGGCTGTTGGCTGGGACAGACTCCTCCCTCAGCGTTGGTCCTCTTCTGAGGCCTCCCTGGGCCCAGCATGACTCATGTCTCTGCCCTCTCCAAAATCCCCACCAAAGAGGCCCATCAGGAATCAGGGTGGAAATTGTGGACAGGCTCCTTCTGTCCCCTTGGCAAAAGGCTGAAAAGAGACCTGGTCCCATCTTTGGGGTAAAGCCGGTTTTGCTAATTTATCAGGAAGAAAAATTATGAGTTGATTTAAAAAAAAAAAAAAAGGAGTGAGTTCCAGACGGGTAGCCTGGGTAGCTCCTGCTCTTTCTGCCTGGGTTCCAGGAAATTCAAGAGGCAAATCCCAGCTCTGCCTTTTAATAGCTGTGTGATCTT